GGTCACTCCGCTTGAAGCGCTTCCTCCGTCGCAAGAAGCTGCCGCTCTGGAACATGTCCCTGGCATCCGGGTCCAGGGCCCAGTAGCTGCCCTTGCCAGGCCTGCCGGGCTCCCTGGGCACCTTGACGAAGCAGTCGTTGAGGGTGAGGTTGTGCCGGATGCTGTTCTGCCACTTGCGGGGTCCCTCCCGTCGGTAGAAGGGGAAGCGGTCGGTGATGAAGCGGTAGATGCCCCCTAGGGTCAGGCGGTGCTCCGGGGAGTGGGCGATGGCCAGGGCGATCAGGGCGATGTAGCTGTAGGGGGGCTTCCCGCGCTGGGCTGGGCGCTTCCGACGGCTGCCGCGGAGGGAAGAAGAAGAAGAAGAAGAAGACCCCGAGGGGGCAGGGTCCAGGCTCTCTGCCTTCACCGGCCCAGGGGGGCACAGGGAGACAGCCTCTGCCCCTGCCTCCCTCGACGTGGAAGATGGGCCGCCCTCCGCAGTCATCGCAGGCCCCCAGGGCAATGGGGAGGCAGACCCCCAGCTCCAGCCCTCCAGTCCTTAGCCTAGAGAGATAGATCCAGAGCCTAGGTAGGGGACTCCCTGGCTGTCTGTGGTGCAGCCAAAGGCTGGAGGCGTCCTGAGCGCAAATACTTCGGTGCCTGCCGTCGGGGCTTCTCAATGGCAAGGCTTGGTTGAGGCTAGCCTTGAAGGGAGGGACGCCCTTCTTCCCCGACGGACAGGGAAAGCAGGCTGGCTCTGGCTCTGGCTCTGGCGCTGGGTCCCCGGCTCGTCCGCCCCTTCGAGGATGGGATGATGCCGCTTTCTTCCCGGGATGAGGCTGGGAGGCGGACCAGGGATTGCGGCTCCTCCGACGGGAGGCAAGGCAAGGCAAAGAAGAAGCCTGGAAGGGAACTTCACCTACCCAAGGTCCTCCTCCTCCTCCTTGGCTGGGCTGGGTCTCCCACTCCGCCGCCCGACGGGCCCCCCTGAGGCTGGCTAGACGGTCCCTGGAAGGTGGCGGAGGAAGGCAGGCAATGAATTCCCTTTCTTCCCAAAGGCCGAGGGCCAGTTCCCTCCAGGAGAGAAAGAGAGAGCGTTCCTCTGGTCTTGGGTGCCTCTGTCCCTGCCTTTCTGCGCACCTGGGCCCTGCCTCCCTCCCTCCCTCCCTTCCAGC